TGCTCGTGTGCCAGGGCTACATGGTACGTGCCTAGTGCCAAGGTGACTTCTGAGTCGACTCAAAAGTCACCTCTGCTGCTCGTGTGCCAGGGCTACATGGTACGTGCCTAGTGCCGAGGTGACTTTTTAGTCGACTCAAAGGTCACCTCTGCTGCTCGTGTGCCAGGGCTACATGGTACGTGCCTAGTGCCAAGGTGACTTCTGAGTCGACTCAAAAGTCACCTCTGCTGCTCGTGTGCCAGGGCTACATGGTACGTGCCTAGTGCCGAGGTGACTTTTGAGTCGACTCAAAGGTCACCTCTGCTGCTCGTGTGCCAGGGCTACATGGTACGTGCCTAGTGCCGAGGTGACTTTTAGTCGACTCAAAGGTCACCTCTGCTGCTCGTGTGCCAGGGCTACATGGTACGTGCCTAGTGCCAAGGTGACTTTTGAGTTGACTCAAAAGTCACCTCTGCTGCTCGTGTGCCAGGGCTACATGGTACGTGCCTAGTGCCGAGGTGACTTTTTAGTCGACTCAAAGGTCACCTCTGCTGCTCGTGTGCCAGGGCTACATGGTACGTGCCTAGTGCCAAGGTGACTTCTGAGTCGACTCAAAAGTCACCTCTGCTGCTCGTGTGCCAGGGCTACATGGTACGTGCCTAGTGCCGAGGTGACTTTTAGTCGACTCAAAAGTCACCTCTTCTGCTCGTGTGCCAGGGCTACATGGTACGTGCCTAGTGCCGAGGTGACTTTTGAGTCGACTCAAAGGTCACCTCTGCTGCTCGTGTGCCAGGGCTACATGGTACGTGCCTAGTGCCGAGGTGACTTTTGAGTCGACTCAAAGGTCACCTCTGCTGCTCGTGTGCCAGGGCTACATGGTACGTGCCTAGTGCCGAGGTGACTTTTGAGTCAACTCAAAAGTCACCTCTGCTGCTCGTGTGCCAGGGCTACATGGTACGTGCCTTGTGCCGAGGTGACTTTTGAGTTGACTCAAAAGTCACCTCTGCTGCTCGTGTGCCAGGGCTACATGGTACGTGCCTAGTGCCGAGGTGACTTTTGAGTCGACTCAAAGGTCACCTCTGCTGCTCGTGTGCCAGGGCTACATGGTACGTGCCTAGTGCCGAGGTGACTTTTGAGTCGACTCAAAAGTCACCTCTGCTGCTCATGTGCCAGGGCTAGATGGTACGTGCCTAGTGCCGAGGTGACTTTTAGTCGACTCAAAGGTCACCTCTGCTGCTCGTGTGCCAGGGCTACATGGTACGTGCCTAGTGCCGAGGTGACTTTTGAGTCGACTCAAAGGTCACCTCTGCTGCTCGTGTGCCAGGGCTACATGGTACGTGCCTAGTGCCAAGGTGACTTCTGAGTCGACTCAAAGGTCACCTCTGCTGCTCGTGTGCCAGGGCTACATGGTACGTGCCTAGTGCCGAGGTGACTTTTTAGTCGACTCAAAGGTCACCTCTGCTGCTCGTGTGGCAGGGCTACATGGTACGTGCCTAGTGCCAAGGTGACTTCTGAGTCGACTCAAAAGTCACCTCTGCTGCTCGTGTGCCAGGGCTACATGGTACGTGCCTAGTGCCGAGGTGACTTTTAGTCGACTCAAAGGTCACCTCTGCTGCTCGTGTGCCAGGGCTACATGGTACGTGCCTAGTGCCGAGGTGACTTTTGAGTCGACTCAAAGGTCACCTCTGCTGCTCGTGTGCCAGGGCTACATGGTACGTGCCTAGTGCCGAGGTGACTTTTGAGTCGACTCAAAGGTCACCTCTGCTGCTCGTGTGCCAGGGCTACATGGTACGTGCCTAGTGCCGAGGTGACTTTTGAGTCGACTCAAAAGTCACCTCTGCTGCTCGTGTGCCAGGGCTACATGGTACGTGCCTAGTGCCGAGGTGACTTTTGAGTTGACTCAAAGGTCACCTCTGCTGCTCGTGTGCCAGGGCTACATGGTATGTGCCTAGTTCCAAGGTGACTTTTTAGTCGACTCAAAGGTCACCTCTGCTGCTCGTGTGCCAGGGCTACATGGTACGTGCCTAGTGCCGAGGTGACTTTTAGTCGACTCAAAGGTCACCTCTGCTGCTCGTGTGCCAGGGCTACATGGTACGTGCCTAGTGCCGAGGTGACTTTTGAGTCGACTCAAAAGTCACCTCTGCTGCTCGTGTGCCAGGGCTACATGGTACGTGCCTAGTGCCGAGGTGACTTTTGAGTCGACTCAAAAGTCACCTCTGCTGCTCGTGTGCCAGGGCTACATGGTACGTGCCTAGTGCCGAGGTGACTTTTGAGTTGACTCAAAAGTCACCTCTGCTGCTCGTGTGCCAGGGCTACATGGTACGTGCCTAGTGCCGAGGTGACTTTTGAGTCGACTCAAAGGTCACCTCTGCTGCTCGTGTGCCAGGGCTACATGGTACGTGCCTAGTGCCAAGGTGACTTTTGAGTCGACTCAAAAGTCACCTCTGCTGCTCGTGTGCCAGGGCTACATGGTACGTGCCTTGTGCCGAGGTGACTTTTGAGTTGACTCAAAAGTCACCTCTGCTGCTCGTGTGCCAGGGCTACATGGTACGTGCCTAGTGCCGAGGTGACTTTTGAGTCGACTCAAAGGTCACCTCTGCTGCTCGTGTGCCAGGGCTACATGGTACGTGCCTAGTGCCGAGGTGACTTTTGAGTTGACTCAAAAGTCACCTCTGCTGCTCGTGTGCCAGGGCTACATAGTACGTGCCTAGTGCCGAGGTGACTTTTGAGTCGACTCAAAGGTCACCTCTGCTGCTCGTGTGCCAGGGCTACATGGTACGTGCCTAGTGCCGAGGTGACTTTTGAGTTGACTCAAAGGTCACCTCTGCTGCTCGTGTGCCAGGGCTACGTGGTATGTGCCTAGTTCCAAGGTGACTTTTTAGTCGACTCAAAGGTCACCTCTGCTGCTCGTGTGCCAGGGCTACATGGTACGTGCCTAGTGCTGAGGTGACTTTTAGTCGACTCAAAGGTCACCTCTGCTGCTCGTGTGCCAGGGCTACATGGTACGTGCCTAGTGCCGGGGTGACTTTTGAGTCGACTCAAAAGTCACCTCTGCTGCTCGTGTGCCAGGGCTACATGGTACGTGCCTAGTGCCGAGGTGACTTTTGAGTTGACTCAAAAGTCACCTCTTCTGCTCGTGTGCCAGGGCTACATGGTACGTGCCTAGTGCCGAGGTGACTTTTGAGTCGACTCAAAAGTCACCTCTGCTGCTCGTGTGCCAGGGCTACATGGTACGTGCCTAGTGCCAAGGTGACTTCTGAGTCGACTCAGAAGTCACCTCTGCTGCTCGTGTGCCAGGGCTACATGGTACGTGCCAAGTGCCAAGGTGACTTCTGAGTCGAGTCAAAAGTCACCTCTGCTGCTCGTGTGCCAGGGCTACATGGTACGTGCCTAGTGCCGAGGTGAATTTTGAGTCGACTCAAAGGTCACCTCTGCTGCTCGTGTGCCAGGGCTACATAGTACGTGCCTAGTGCCGAGGTGACTTTTGAGTCGACTCAAAAGTCACCTCTGCTGCTCATGTGCCAGGGCTAGATGGTACGTGCCTAGTGCCGAGGTGACTTTTTAGTCGACTCAAAGGTCACCTCTGCTGCTCGTGTGCCAGGGCTACATGGTACGTGCCTAGTGCCAAGGTGACTTCTGAGTCGACTCAAAAGTCACCTCTGCTGCTCGTGTGCCAGGGCTACATGGTACGTGCCTAGTGCCGAGGTGACTTTTAGTCGACTCAAAGGTCACCTCTGCTGCTCGTGTGCCAGGGCTACATGGTACGTGCCTAGTGCCAAGGTGACGGAGCACCCCTGTCTGAGTGAGTAGTGGGCTGTGCGTTGCACTCCTGTCTGGTCATTTCTATCTCCGTCGCACTTTCACCATCATCACCGCTGTTGGTCGCGCCATGATGGCGCCATGTTTACCACATGTGGTGCAGCAGCGTCCCTTCCACCCAGGTACCCAACGCCCACCAAGAAGGTGTACCCTCGATGTCAGATAGAGGATCTGATTTAAGGTGCCTGCCTGCACACAAAGCAAGCGGTTACTTTTACCATTGTGTACAGGCCGTTGCACGCACGGCAGCCAGGGGCAGCAGTGCAGACAGCAATGGGTGCTGTCTGCGATGGCGGATATGAGATTCACGTCACAGCACTTGGATTGGGAAGCTCTGAGGGCGTTTCTTGCAGGTCAATGCACACCATCCACTTTCTGAGCCTATTGCACTCTTCCCTTCCCCTTCCCCCTCCTCTTTTCCTTCCCCTTCCGGTGCCCCTTCCCCAACCCCTCCTTCGCCTTCGCCCTCCCCTTCCCCTTCCCTGTCCCCTTCCCCGTCCCCTTCCCCTTCCCCTTCCCCTTCCCCGTCCCCTTCCCCTTCCCCTTCCCCTTCCCCTCCTTCCCCTTCCCCTTCCCCTCCTTCCCCTTCCCCTCCTTCCTCCTGGGCCATGGGCAGTTGGAGGCGGTGCAGGGTGTGGGGGAGAGCAAGGTGGTGCGCCTAGTGCCCACAGACAGGACCGAGGACATGGTGGCAGGTGGGGGGAGGAGGGGGGGAAGCGTGGGCAAGCGGGTGAAAAGGGGGGGAGGGGGGAAAGGCGGGGGGGGGGGGGGGGTGGGGGGGGGGAGCAGAAACAGGGAAGCTGGGAGATCAGAGGGAGAGTGAGGGGTGGACGACGCGGGGAGAGGGTATGGGGAAAAGAGGAGGAAATAGGTGCTTTTGCAGGAGAGGCATGAGGGAAAGCGTTCTTATCACTACTTTTTTGTTGTCAATCACTAATTCACCTGCTACAGTGCAGAGTCTCTTCGCTTCGTTCCCTCCCCTCCCATTGCCCTCTCCCTTCCCTCCCCCGTTCCTTTTTCCATTTCCTTCCGCTTTACCTTCCCCATCCCTTCTCTTTGCCCTTCCCTCTCCCCTCCTCCCTCCCCTCCACCCCCTCCCATCCCTCTGACCCCCACACTACACATGCTGGCTATGTGCCTCTTATCAGACGTCTCAAAAAGCATCTCTCTGACCCTACACTCCCCATGTAGGCCTCGTGCCCATGTCCATGCCTCTTCGCCAACCCGCGCCTCCCAAGAGCCGCCCTGCCAAGGCAACCACAGGAGACGGCTCTGGTGCACGAGTGAAGGGAGGCAAGTGCGCAGCAGGCAAGGAGGGGAGGGAGGGGGTGTCGAGTGAGCGGGAGGGCAGGGATGAGTGTGCAGATGTGCTTGTATCGGACTGGCATGGGGACTTTCTGGAGGATGAGGGGGAAGTGGAAGGGGCGAAGGGAGGGGAGGAGGATGGGGAGAAGAGAGGGGAGGAAGTGTGGGGGGGGAAGAGAAGGAGGGATGACGAGGAGGAGGAGGAGGAGGAGGAGGAGGAGGATACAGTGACGGTTGCTACAAGGGTGGAGAGGAGGAAGATTGCCAAAGCCAGGGCTGCCGGAGAGAGGGCGGAAAGGGGCGGACGGAACGGGAGGGGGAGGGGGAGGGGGAGGGGGACAGGGGCGGGGAAGCGGAAGGGGAAGGGTGCAGAGGGGGAGGACGTGCACGAATGTGATTCTACTGCTGCGAAACAAGGTGAGGAGGGGAGCCATGGGGATTTGTTGGCTCATGCTGGAGCTGCTGCTGCTGCTGCTGCTGCTGCAAAGGATGGTGAAGTGCAGGTGGGCGCATTGAGCAGGGAGGGTGGGAAGGGGAGGGTGAAGGGGACGGGGAAGTGGAAGCGGAAGGGTGCAGAGCGGGAAGGAGTGCAGGAAGGGGATTCCACTGCGGTGAAAGAATGGGAAGAAGGGGGTCATGGGGAGTTGTTGGCCCGTGCTGCTGCTGCTGCTGCTGCAAAGGATGGTGAAGTTCAGGTGGGCACGTCGAAAAGGGGAAGTGAGAGGGGAAAGAGGGGAAGGCATGGCAAGGGGTCTTCACGTGGTGTGTACAAGTCCAGGGCTGTGTCGCCTGGCAGGGCCGTGTTGCCTGGCAGGGCCGTGTCGCCTGGCAGGGCTGTGTCGCCTGGCAGGGCTGGTGCTGCTGCTCAGGCAACACGGTATGCCACTGCATTGGATGCTGATGATGCTGATGCAGATGATGATGCTCACACTCCTGCTCACACTACTGCTGCAAGTGGTCCTGCTAGTGGCGGTGCCACAGATGCAGACAGGCATAATGATCAGGCAGACCAGTCCCATCAGCCACAGCAGCAGCCACGGCAGCAGCAGCAGCAGCAGCAGCAGCAGCAGCAGCAGCAGGCAGCGCGTGGGAAGGAAGTGCAGCTGGAGGAGGCGAAGTGGAGTGCTGGGGAGCAGGAGCGTAGGGCAATGGCAGAGCGCTTCATAGCGCACGTGGCTCCCCAGTGCAGCACACGCATCCTGCAGAGCTGCGCGTGGATCCACGAGGTCACAGCCACTGCTGCCAAGATGCTAGACAAAGATGCACAGCGCTTGGCCCAGTCAAACCAGCGCGTTCACGGGGCCGGCAAAGGAGGAGTAGGGGTGGATGTGCGTGCAGGGGAGGCAGAGCCTGGGAAGCATCAGGAGGGTGGTGCAGTGCTGGGCAGTGGTGGTGATCAGGGGGGGGTGGATGACCTTTACGATGATGAGGGTGATGATGGGGATGAGGGAATGGAAGAGGAGTTTCCAGGATGGAAGAGAAAGCGGGACGGGGAGGAGGACGAGGAGGAGGAGGAGGGAGAGGAGGCGAAGAGAGCCCGAGAGGAGATGGCACTGTGGTGGGAGGAGGAAGGAGGCAGCAGGGCCATGGCAATGGTTCTCAGGGAGTCGATGGATGACTTCTCCCGGCGGCTGGAAGCAAGAAAGCGAGCATATATGAAGTCTGTAGTATTTCAGGAATGAACACGTGCAGCAATGCACTAGTCAAAGCCAAGGCCGACAAATTCGGTGTAGGTCACCCTTATGGTGACGTTTATGTCGTGTCTTTTGATCAGGTTGCCACCTTATTTTCCTTTCCTTACCTGGCACAGTTAGGCCATGTATTACCCGGAAAACGACCCTGACATCACTGAAATCGGGATAGTTGCGAGTGCTAAGGGCCATTTAATGGATATTGATAGAGAATAGGACTCAGAAATAAGCACTCCGACAAGTCAGAGATGTTGGGCTGAGAATTAGCCCTTCGGATCTTTTCGAGGTAGTAGGAATTATGTAGTTTGCGGAAGCGTAATAACTAAGTTTACTGAACCACCTTGCACTGGTATGTGAGAACAAGATAAATTGATAATAGCAGAGAAACAACGCTTTATATGATTTACAAAGGAATACGAAAGGTTTTACTTTAACTGTTTTGCTGTTGCGGTTCGATACAGTGACGAGTCGGGTAACTGCTCAGTATCGAGTCACTTATGTGTCCTTGCTGTCGCGTTGTATTTTTCGTCGAGTCAAAGGCCAGCGACCTTTGACCTTCGCATAATCTCCAGCTGTTACTTTTGTTGACTCGCGTGTTGCTTCACTGTAGTCTGCTCCGTTTCGTCTCGATACTTCGATACTTCAGAAGCGTTAAGTTACTTGTTTCCAACACTCCCCTTCGCTTCTGGAGTGTCACTGCTGATGACGTGTCCTTGTCCAATCAGCAGCATGCAGTACTCGAACTTCTGTTTTCCGAGTTTCTTGGTCAAGTAATCGGCTGCCATCTCGGATGTGGGACAGTAGGATAACTCGAGTCTTCCCTTCTCGATTTCGTCTCTTACGAAGAAGTACCGGAGGGCGATGTGCTTCGTTCGATTCGCGAACCCATTTTTGTTCGCTATGCGAATGGCCGATTGGTTGTCGCAGAAGAGGGAGAAGCTAGGTAACTGAGCCAATTTTGCTTCTTCCAGTAATTCGCGAAGATATAGTCCTTCCTTGGTGGCTGAGAAGAGTACGATGTATTCTGCTTCGGCTGAGGAGAGAGCGATTAGCTCTTGCTTGTTCGACTGCCATGAGATGGGGCTGATAGGTTCAAGTCGGTAGATGTAGCCAGTACGAGATCGCCTGTTGTCAGAGTCTCCAGCATGATCGGCGTCGACGTAGCCGATTAGTTTAGGGGTCGTAGTTCTGGTCTTGTGGTATGTTAGTCCGATCGTCAGGGTGCTGACGAGGTAGTGAAGTGCACGGTCGAGCTCCATCATGTGTTTTGCTTCAGGCTTCTTGAGGTAGGTGGCAAGTTGACTAGCTGAGTAAGATAGATCCGGTCGGCACGTAACGGCTGCGAAGAGTAGAAAGCCTAGCTTTTGTTGGTAGTCGCGAATGCCGGCGGGTTTGAGTAGGGTGGAGACTTTGTTGCGATTTCCGTCGGTGTAACCGTATGGCGTGGTGATGGCAGCTGGAGTTAGTCCGAATCGTTTGGCGATGGTGTCTGTGTATTTTTTGGCGCTGAGGTAGATTGCGTTGTCGCCGTCTTGTATGTTGAGTCCCATGTACTGTGTCACGGTAGTCGCGACGGTGAGTGTGAGATCCCGCTGCAGTTCAACCAGGTCGTTATGTTGTCGGTGGAGCCTATGTAGAGGAGGTCGTCTACATAGATGATGAGCAGGATGTAGTTGGTTCCCTTTATGAGTCGGTACATCCCTTGGTCATGCGGTAGTTGGCAGAATCCGATGCGGATTAGACGGGCGTGAAGATGCTGTTGCCACAGTCTCGGGGCTTGTTTGATGCCGTACAGCGATTTTTGCAGCTGACAGACTTGGTTGGGGTCTGCATTAGATCCATGTGGATGTTCGACAAAGATCTCAGCATCGACAGGGGCGTAGAGGAATGCGTTGGCAATGTCGATTTGTCGAAGTTTCTTCCGGTTCATGGCGGCTATCGCAAGGAGAATCCGCAGCGAGGTATGTCGGCTAACTGGTGCGAATGTTTCCGTGAAGTCTCGTCCATGCTCTTGGTCGAAGCCGCGCACGACCCAACGTGCCTTGAATTTGTCAATTGTTCCGTCGACTTTTGTTTTCACGCGGAAAACCCATTTTCCCGTGAGAATGGTCTTGTTGCGTGCCACTCCAATAGGCACGACTTTCCAGGTGTTGCGTTCTTGCAGCGCCTTTAATTCTCTGTCCATGGCTTCGCGCCATTTTTCCCTGTGTTCCCCTCCCAGAGCCTGCTGAATAGTGGCAGGCTCCTTAGGTGGTGCTGCTCCGTGGACAGCGGTGACGAGTCCCAGTATCTGCAGTCCACTCTGTGTGTAGTGGGGAAGATTTGCGTCCTCGGGATAAGCTGCTTCATCTCCCGCTTCTGGATCTGGGAGGAAATTGGGTCCTATGCGTTTGGAGACGTTGGTGTTGACTGGTTGGGGTGTAACGTAACCGTTGTCGGCGAAGTCGAAGTAGGTTTCGGCGTTGACACTGTCGCGAGGGTTTTTGTCATCCATTGGGATGGGCACAGAGCAGTATGGGAGTGGTCCTGCTTCCTCAGTTGCGCTGTCCACGTTCTGCTCGTCCCAATCGGCTTCGTCTGCTGCTGAAGCGAAAGCTCGGTTGCCACGAAAGCCGCCCGTGAGGTCTCGATTTGCTGCCAGGTTGTCCAGGTACGTTTGAAGTGTGAGTCGCTCGTAGAAGATGACATCACGTGCTGCTACTATTTCCTTTGAGTGGATGTAAAAAATCTTCCATGCGTTGTAATGCCTTTCAATGCCCAGGTGTAGTCCCCACTGTGCGCGTTGGGAAAACCTTCCGGCTCTTGCAGTGTGCGGTCGGTACTGTACCATGCACCCAAAAACTTGTAACATTTTTGTGTTGCCCAGTTTTCCTGTCCACAGCAGGTGCGGTGATGCGTTTTTCGGGAGCGATGATGACGAGAGCAAGTTGTGCAGCATGATAGCGTGGTCCATCGCCTCAGGCCACTGGTGGTTGGGCAGTCGCATGCCACGCAACAGTTTGCGCATGGTGTTCTGGAGAGTTCTGTTCATCCGTTCTGCCACGCCTTGCTGTTGATGGGCGTAGGGAAGCGAGATGAGTTGCTTGATGCCTCGTTCTGCGAGGTACTGCTTGAACCTTTGTGACTGGTATTCTCCTCCCCCGTCTAACTGGAAGCTTTCCAGCTTTGCTCCTGATTCTCGTTCTGCCACAGGTAGCCAGGCGACAAAGGCTTCGAAGGCCATGTCGCGACTTGGAAGGTTGAGATGCCAGACGTATCGGGTGGCGGCGTCGATGAAAGTAATCACATAGTTGTATGCTCCCTGACCTTGTTCGCAAGTATACAGGATGTCGCTGTAGACTTTCTCCAGTGGTGCGTAAGCTGGCGCGCTTGGATTGTGGTGAGAGACAAACTGTTGATGATGTAAGTCGGCTTTGGGGCAGGTAAAACATGTGCCTCGGACTCGTTGAAGTTCTCTGCCGTCGGGTAGAAGTAACAAATCTTTGTCAAGTACTGCTGCCTTGATGGTGTTGTTTAACGTTGTGTTGCTTGGATGACCCAATCTTTCGTGCCATAGTGATTCGCTCGCACGATGTCCTGGTGAGCGCCTGTACAGGTCGGAGTTGGAATAAAATCTTGCGGTGAGGTTGGCGTTTCTGTGAACTTCGCGTGGGGTGGGAGTCAATTGCTGCGCAGGAGACGGTGGAGTATCGTCGATGAGAGCTGGTGCCGTCGAAGGACCCGCGATTGGTGTCATAGTTGTTGCTGCTGCTACCGATGTTGTTTCTGCTGCTGCCGATGTTGTCTCTTCTTGTCGAATAATTGCTAATGCCCTTGTTCTTTCTGCTTCAGGTATGGTGTGTGAGTACCAGAATCCTCCAGGACTGAATTCGGGGTCGAGATCTGGTGGATGTGTCCAAGAAGTGAAGTTGACGATGGCATTGCTGTCGGCGGTACCTTGGTCTGTAACAAAGTCAAGAACGAAGACGTTATTTTTCAAGACCGCCTTGCCAATGTAGAGTCTGCCCTTTCCGTGGTATAACTTGAACTCCTGAGTGGTGCTATCTGCTTCGAGATGAATGCCCTTCGCCATTAATTGACTAACGCTGAGTAAGTTGTAGCCGAGTCCTTCTGCAATTAAAATTTTCGACATTTGTAGAATAACATTGGTTTCTCGAGATTGAAGTTGAACGATCCCTTGTCGTCGTGTTTGCAGGTTCTGGTTGTTGGCGACGGTGATTACGACTTCGCGTTGAAGTTGGTGTTCCTGTTGAACGAAGCGACCCGAGGAGCACATGTGCTGTCTGCTGCAGCTGTCCAAGAACCAGGTGTCTTTCCCAGACGGCTCGCTCTAGGCGATGGCTGCATACGTCGGGTTGGGCTCCAGTGATTCGCGGCGAGGAGTGCTCTCGTCGAGCTGTTCTTCTGGTGAGTAGAACGGTTGTGATCCGGTGATGCAGGAGTCTGTCGTTCTTGTCATACATCTTACGATGTTTCTTGTGCCTTGTGCAGGTTTTGTCGTTGATGTCGTTGAAGACTGTACTTTATTGGTGGGATGCGCCTGTGTAGAAGCCACTTGACTGCTTGAGGGCCGAAGTTGACATTGCGGCGATGTCGACTGCTGCTGATTCGGGCAGTGTGTGCGAGGATGTCCTGACGTCTTGCAGGGGTGACAGAACGGTGGGACGTACTGTTGAACTTGACGGTTGTTTTGTCGATTGTTGTTGTTGTTGTAGCGCCTTTGAGTATGAAATGCGAACTCTGGTGCTGACGCTCTCTTCTTCTGTCGTTCCTCGTGTAGGTCCATATCCTGTTGTTCAGCGTGAATTTCGGCGCAGAGTGCTGCTTCGGAGATTTTCCCGTGAGCTCAGAGGAGTGCTCGAGTGGAGCGCTAATGAGGACCGAGGCCAGCGATGATAACTGTTACGAAGGCTTCTTCGGATATCGATCCTCCGCATCGTAGGAGTCAGTCGCGCAGTCCACGGCAACGGCTGATATACGCCATTCCCTTTTCGCCGGGTTTCATTTCCATTGTTGTCAGTTGTGCCATGAGACGACTTTGATTAACACTGTCTGTTGCTTGATACGGGCTCTTCAGGTGTCATACGCCAGCTCGGGGGAATTCCCGTATCCTCGATAAGACCGAATGTCATGATGCTCGTTTGGCGTTATA